AAAAGGCCAATTATAGTAATATTAATTCATCTCTGTTATCTACTGACTGGGATGATCTTTTTGATGGCCACCAGCAGGATGTCGACATGGTGGTTGGTGGTTTCTACAGAAAGTTGTCTGAAATTATTGGCTGCAATGTACCTCTAATGGGCTCTTTTGTTGCTAAATTCCCGAATTGGATGTCTGCGGAATTGAGATCAGCAGTCTCTCAGAAGAAGTTGGCCCATCGGACATTTAAGGCTACGGGGGATGGTGGTGCACTGCATGACTTCAGGATCTTCAGGACGGCTTGTAAGCGCCTTGCGTTACGTGATTATGGCCGGTATATTGATGACGTTGAGGAGTCGTTGCAGTCTGATCCGGGAGAATACTGGAAGTTCGCAAATTGTAAGGATGGTCGCTCTGGTTATCCAGATAATATGTATTTTAATGATGTTGTTGCACATCATGGCCAGGATATTGTTAATTTATTTGCGGATCGATTCTCATCGGTTTTTTCTGCAACCTCTCTTCGGGATGGCTTTAATGGGCTTTCCTTCGACTCACAGGCGCTGTCTGAAATTTTTTTCGTGCTCGAGAATGTGAAGCTTGAGCTTGTCGGCCTTAAACCATCGTTCGCGGCTGGACCTGATGGGATTCCGTCGACTTTTTTTATTAACAGTGCTCATAATTTAGCTCAACCGATTCTTTATATTATGAATTTATCTTTACGTATAGGCACCTTTCCATCGGCCTGGAAACAGGATTTTGTTATTCCAGTGTACAAGAAGCGTGGTGACAAGAGAGATATTTGTAGTTACCGTCCGATAGCCAAGCTGAATGTCCTGTCCAAGTTGTTCGATCGTCTGGTGTCCATCAAACTATCACCCTTCCTTCTTCGCTCTATTAATGTCTCCCAGCATGGTTTTGTTCCCCACCGTTCCACAGTCACTAACCTTGCAGAGTTTGTAGAATTTCTTGTTGATGCTTTTGATCAGGATCATCAAGTAGATGCTATCTATACTGATCTCACAAGCGCCTTTGATAGTGTCAATCATCAATTATTAGTAGCTAAATTATCATTTTATGGCGTCCATGGTCCTTTCCTCTCCTGGTGTTTCTCTTATTTATCCCATAGATCATACTCCGTAAAACTTCAAAAGTTTGTCTCTTCTTCGTACTTAGCTGCTTCTGGGGTGCCACAGGGCTCGCACCTTGGTCCTCTATTTTTTATTATTTTTGTAAATGATGCTTTCTCAGTTATTAAGTCCTCTTATATCTCCTTCTATGCCGATGATGCCAAAATATTTAAAGTTATCTCCTCCTTTAACGATGTTTATGAATTACAGTTGGATCTGGAGAGATTCTGTGATTGGTGCTCTTCAAATGGGCTCTTATTGAATATTGATAAATGTGCAGCTCTGTCGTTCTCTCGTAGTAAAGCGCCATACATTCATAACTATTATTTCCTTGATGTTGTTATTGGTAGGGTTATTGAGTTTAAGGATCTTGGCGTGTTGTTTGATGGTAGTCTTTCCTTCACTTCACACATCATTTAGTCATGTCGTTTGGCATCTCGGGCATTATTTCTGTTGTTCAGACAATGTCGTGCATTCAAAAGGCAAGCTCTCTTATTGCACTCTATAATGCCAATATTCGCTCTCGTCTTACTTATGCGTCTGTCATCTGGGCGCCGCGTTTTTATCATCAATCTAAATCACTTGAGATTGTTCAGCATCGCTTTTTACGTTTTTTAGCTAATAAATTCGGCCCACGTATGGATGCCTTCTCTCATGACTACTCTGCAGTGGCACGTTCATTTCATATTTGCACTATCACTTCATTCATCAACTATCAATCAGCATTATTTATTTATAAAATTTGTCATAACTTTATCAATTCGATGGCCCTTTCTAATCGCATTCTCTATATAGTGCCCCCGCGTATTCTCCGGGCCCGTCATCACACCTTTTTTATTCGTCCCCGTAAATGTAATCTTAATCATTTGTCTATTGTCGATCGCTCATGTCATCTCATCAATAACTTGTCATCTACATTGGACGTGCACGCAGTTTGTATTGGCACATTTAAAAAGCTTGTTCGTGAGGACATAGCGGAGTTTCGCTAGTTTGTTTCTTTTGTCACGCGTCTTCTGGTTTTTCGTTTGTTCGGTGCTCTCTGTTTTTTTTATATTGTTTTTCACATTTTGGCTGCCTTTTCCTTCTTTTGTTATTTTATTTTATGTAATTTTTACTTTAATTATTGTTTTGTTATTTACTTCTATTTTTCTTTACTTTTTATATTTATTATGTATGTTTTTTTTATACTGTATTTTTTTTTTTGTCTATCTTTTTAATTCTTTCATATTTTTTATTTTGTATGCTTATTATTTGTCATGTTTTGATTTGGGTTTTTACCCGTTTAATAAATGAAAAAAAAAAAAAAAAAAAAATAAAAAATAAAACGCCACTTTTCCAAAATTTTCGTTTTTCTTTTGTAGGCTAAGTACTTATCGGACCACCCTCGTAATATAGATCAAGTGTAGCAAGTCAGGTGACTTAAGGTGAGTTCAACTCTGTTGGAAAGAAGACTGAAACAAAAGGCGAATACACGTATATCCATACGTGTTTAACGGAGCGGCGGTTAGCTCTGCATCGTGGGAGTTTGTGTTTCAATAAATTCTTATTGTACTAGCTGATCCACCCTGTTACAATTATTATTATAAATTTAATTTATCCACCTTACATTGTTGGATTCGCTGTATGGAATACCTTCTTCATGTTTTATATCGACTCGATTTCAAGCAATATTGTGCACGTTCTGAGGAAGAAAAGTCATTGTTAAAATCGAGAAAAGCTCTTGTCCAAAAATCATTAAGATCTAAGCTTAATTTATCGTTTAATATTGTCAAGCAAGATACGGGTCTACGAATACTAGCATAATATTGTCAAGCGAGATACGGGTCTACGAATACTAACAATGTAGCTTGAGTTTTTTTTTGCAAATCTTACATAAGTGCCCAAAGCTACTAACATAGACAAAAAATTAATAACCAGATTTCACGATAAACTACAAGTAATTATATACAAAAAGAAAATTAATCGTAGGAAATTCAGAGCCTATTGTATGAAAACAGCAAAAATCTGCATTGAGCTTTACAATTGGTATAAAATGCCACCATCCATTCATAATTTAGTTATACCTGGCAGTGATATCATTGAATATTTTAGTGTTCCTATTGGATGGCTATCTGAAGAGCCTCAAGAAGGCAATAACAAAGTGTTCAGAATAATTTGCTTAAACATTAGTCGAGTAACTGTTTGCAAAACAACGAATAAAGACATTCTTCACGGTCTTTTAGTGGTATCAAATCCTCTTATCAGTAATTTAAGAACGAAAGTTATTAATCTGATGAAGAATTTTCTCTGAAGAAGTTAGGAATTAGTCAATTGATTTAAAAGAAGACGAGCTTTAAAACACCTAGAATATAAAGTTAATACGATATTATATACATTCGTGAGATGAATATTTGAAATATTAAATAGCAATAATAGTGGATACAAACCCACCTTGCCTAAACTGGCCGGGACACGCACACTGCCTTGCCTTAATTGACTGGATGTCACACACCACCTTGACTTCACTAGATAGGCATCACGCCTTGCCTTAATTAGCTGGGTACCACACACTACTTTGCCTTACCTAGCTTGCTATCACGCCTTGCCTTAACTTGCTGGGTACCACGCGCTACCTTGCCTCAAATAGCTGGGTATTATGCCTTGCCTTAACTAATTGGGTGCCCGCACTACCTTGCGTTAACAAACTGGGTGTCATACCTCGCCTTGATTGGCGCAGTGTTATACACCGCCTTGACTTAACTAAATGGGTATCACATCTTGCCTTAACTGGCTAGATATTACTCATAACGTTGCTTTAACTGACTGGGTACACGAACTACCTTGCATTAACTAACTGAGTATCACGCCTTACCGTAACTCGCTGTGAGGCGTGATATCTCGAAAACTGAAGGTGATTGAACGATTCTAAGCTTGAATTCAAATTCAGCGCTCTAAAAACCTTCGGAAATATCTGGTAGGGTCTCTTGGTTTAAGAAGTATCCGCCTCTGTTATTTATTCCCTGATTCTCTAGTCATATGTCGAGTAAGCTTTCTAATCGCCCTATTTAAATTAAAAGAGAGAAACCACTGTTAGATTATTAGGCTATTACGTAATATGGGTTATTGCATTTCTTATGACATTATTTATTATCAGGAGTTGCTCAGTGAGTAAGCTTTAGATTTAATTTCATAAATGTATTTATTGAAATAGCTTATATTTAAAAGTGCAAATTATGTATGTAACCCAGCGAGTGTTGGCGAGCGAGGTATATTTCCGTCAGTTAATAATCTTTAAACTATATTTTATGCATTAGAATCAAACGGGTTTAACCTTATTCCTCTTACTTTAAAAGGTAACATCACTGTTGGATTAAATAAAATCGTTTTTTTGGCTTAAATGATGCTTTAGGGTTTTAAAAATAACATCTAATTGGTCATATGTTAAAAAAAAATAACAACAGCTTCAATTCTTAATTTATTTCAAAAAATTCATTTTTTTTTTCTAGCTCTGATACTTTTGGAGTTACGTTTTCATCCGCGGAGGCATACGAAAAGAATATATTCCTGAGAAATGACTCTGACGCCGCCATTTTGTTGTGAAAATTCAATAATAAATTTTTTTCCATACTTCAATGTATGTTTAATCAAACCCTCAAAACAGAAATCCGATTCCTTTATCCATCTTTTTAAAAAAAAGTTATCAAAATCGTGCCTTTTTTTAAAGTTCTAGAGAGATGTTACGCCTTAAATTGGAAAAAATGTTATGTGTGTAAAATAACTTAATTTGAAAAAATTTGAAATGGTTGCTGAAATTTCATCTTGCTTTTTAAAAAATTAAAACACCATTTTCACCAATCAGTTTTTATAGAATGAACTGAAAATTGAACAAAAAAATATACTTACAAGCAGTAAATGTTGTTGTGGATGTTGCCTATGCCCACTATTCCTAGATTGTCGGGAGACAAATGCTGATAATTCACCTACTCCCGCACTGCTAATTGTTTCCGATTGTTGTTGTTGATGTGTTGAAAGTTCTGATTGCATTTGTTGAGGAATTTCGACATTCGCTGAATCTTCTCCTAAAATAATTTCTACTTCATTGTTATCACCTTCAACTTCAACTCCATATGGAAGTTCTTCGTCCTCAATTTCTTCGTAAGGATCATTCTCAAACTCTTCTTCGGCATGTTGATGTGTAATGTTTCCTTCATCACAATCAACTACCACTATACAATGATCTTCAGCTTCTTCATCCTGGTCTCTTTGACTTGACGTTGGGACCTTGAATAAATACATAGATAATTTAAAGAAATTCTATTGCTTTTTCGAAATGTTATGATGTACATAGATAGATTATGATGTATATAGATACATTTATAATAAATGAAATTACGAAGAAATTTTAGATCGGGTTGACTACATATAATTCTTTAAAAAATTTGTATGCGGTTGCAGTAATCTATTAATATATTAATTTAAGACTCAATGCTGGTGGAAAAAGAGGTATAACTTTTATAAATATCGTAATATTTATATATAAATGAAAATATAAGGTGAATATATGAATTTAATTATAAGGTAAATATAAATAATTGTGTAGTGTGATGGGGGAGGGAGCAGGGAAAATAATGCGTCGATTTTTCTCTTTTTCGAAGGTCATCTCACAGCCAGCCAACGTTATTGTAGTTTTTATAATTTTTGTTGGGCGCCAGCTACTGCAACTACCTACTCCTCAGAAGTAGCTAATTGGAGTGGCTTCTCAGGTCGTCTCGGTCAGTAAACAGTCACATTTTTAGTTACGCGCACACAATGCAGCGGCGCGGCGGACGAACAATATGACGTCGAGCCTGCTCTTCACAGTCCGATCGCGATAGCTACGGGGAATGTATAAGCTTGCGAGTTAAGACAAAGAAAAAAAAGGAGTATTTCATTTGGAAAAATCACTGTTTATTGCGTCAGAAAGCACGGTCTGCCTAGGTCAATCCTGTCACTGTTATCTTCCAAACTATTTTTGATTAATCCACACTATTAAGTTCCAGGTAATCGGGCTAAAATTCGATTCACGCTCTACCTTATTGATTACGTCAATGCCATTTGTCATCACGCAACCTACAAACCTGTTCCCGATAAGACACCGCGACGCGATCGCAGCCCGCACGATATCTATAGGTCAAGTCAATCGCTCGGTGTCGGAGCACTCGATGGGACAAAGAGCAAAATGATGTAACCTGCACTCTTGGTTAGTCACGAGTCAACAGGACTAAATCGTGAGTTTACACTTCTATGTTGATTCGCGCACTCCCAAACATGGTATGGTCGTAATACGGTACTCACGGATCGGGTACTCTCGTCTAGTCCGACGAAGTTCCGTTTCTTTCTCGCCTTCGCTTTTGAGACTCACTCGACATAATGGCTTCAACGTTCCTTGTCGTTCGATCCGACCTCGGTTACGTCTTTCAGGAGAATAGACCGCGGCTAGACGGTCGTCGCATTGCGTCTCTTTTGCTTCCTTTTCTTTCTAGTCGCGGACTTTTGTTTCATTGGTTCGAAGTGGCGTCATGTCAATCATTAGCGCCGTCTATTTTATTATTCTGTCTCGCTTAATTTTGCTACGGGTCGGATACTTGGCGCCTTATTATTCTATATGTAAGTCCACTCCTATGTTATCTACAATAAGTCGGTCAGTCAGTCAAGATGCGCGTGCCGATCAGTCTGCTGGTTGTTAGTTGTCTATCGTTCATTCTTGTTTCTCTCATACTTGTTAATCCTACCGGTAGTTCTTATCAGTGCATCGGTATCCCCTCTCGTGTCTTCTCTATCGGTTGTCTTACTCGCACTCACGCTCTCCCTCCCTCTCGCTCCCCACTCTCTCTGGCTCACGTTCGTTGACGGTCGCGTCACAACATGGCTATCGCTCGGCTCCCGCATCAACTTCGCGTCTTGCCGCTGCATCTCCATGGTCACTTCTCAGTGATCACGCATTGTGTGTGGTACTCCCGCTGTGTGACCAGCTAAAAGGATCAGCTTATTTCGGTTACAATCTTCTTTGTCACTTTATTTCCTGGGGAAGCATCGGTCCGGGTTTCTGTGTGTGAGCATGTGTATGCGCGCGTCGGTTGGGCAGTTTTTGTGAGGTCTTTCCCATGAAGTCTTGGGGCGATGCTTAGGTGTGAGGGTGTAAGATACAGCGTAAGCTGATTGGTCGTTTGCATCCTCTTGTCGGGAGAGGATTTTCATACGTTGCGCGAGTTTTCCAAGCGTGAATTTTTTTTACGTGATGGAACATTATCACAGTAGCTATCACCGAAAGAGATATTGGAGAGTTCTTCAACAATATATGTATTATATATATATACAGTGGCGAGCAAAAGTGTCCGGCCAAAGTTGTTTTTATGTTTTGATCATGTATAAATGATGCAAAGTAGCAACACAAACACATCTTAGTAAAGTACTTTTATTATGCATTCAAATCATGTTGTCCAACAATTTGTTATAATGCTTAACAAAATTTTATATCGATAATAGAAAATATGGCTTATTCATAAGTATCCGGCCAACTATTACGTAGATACAATTCGCATGGCTTTATTTACATTATCGGTCACAAAGGTATGTAAGCGCTGGAACTGTCTATCAGTTATGCTCTGACATCAGTATCGCAACGAAACGCATGTCTGTAGATATTCGACAAGTCGTAATTAAATTACACAATGAAGGAAAGGTTTCTCGTGATATATCTAAAATTCTAGGCATAGGAAAATCGACTATGAATGATATATTATTAGATTCCATAGCACTAACACTCTGAAAGATAAAAAAAGTTCTGGGAGACCAAGAAAAACCACTAATCGTGTTGACAAATTGATCAAAAGAAAAGCTGTCGTAGATGTTAAAAAGAATGCTGCCATTATTGCACGCAAATTACGGGAAGAAAATGTAGCAGACGTCAGTCGTAGTACTGTATCACGTAGACTGAGAGAAGTGGGACTTGTTGGACATGTTGGTGTGAAAAAACCTTTTATTAGTAAGAAAAACAAGAAGGCCAGACTAGAATTTGCTAAAAAATATGAAAGCTATACTGTTGAGGACTGGAAAAAAGTGCTGTTTTCGGATGAAACTAAAATCAATCTATTTGGAAATGATGGTAGAAGGTATGTGCGGCGACCGGTAGGTAGTAGATATGATTCAAGATACCAAATACCGACTGTGAAGCATGGTGGAGGTAGCATAATGCTATGGGGTGCATTTTCATGGAAAGGCGTCGGTCCAATCTTCAAAATAGAAGGCAATATGGACTCTGTCATGTACAAGGATATTATATTGGAGGAAATGCTACCTTATGCTCGACAAAACATGCCCAGAGGATGGATATTTCAGCAGGATAATGATCCAAAACACAGGTCACACCTCCTTCAGCAAGTTTTTAGTAAGAAAAAAATTCGAGTTTTAACAGTGACCGAGTCAGTCTCCAGACTTAAATCCTATTGAGCACTTATGACAAGAGCTAAAAATAAGATTAGGAAATCAAAACTAAGCTAATACAGCCTCCCTATGGCAAAAAGTGCAAGAAGAGTGGAACAATATCTCTCATGATAGGATTGTGACACTTATTGAATCGATGCCTCACCGATGTGCAGCCGTGATAGCTTCTAAGGGTATGGCTACGAAGTTCTGATGACTGTGTTACATTTAAAACCATTTCTAGTTTGTTTTGTTTCATGTTACTATATTTTTCTACTCGTTGTTCTATAGTTTTTTTACTAATTGTCACATTCATAGTTGGCCGAATACTTATGAATAAGCCATAATTGTTATTATCGATATTAAATTTTGTTGATTGTTAAAATGAATTGTTAAATTACATGTTTTGAGTATATAATAAAAGTACTTTACGATGATGTATTTGTGTTGCCACTTTGCACCCTTTGTACATGATTAAAACATAAAAACAACTTTGGCCGGACACTTTTGCCCGCAACTGTACATATATATAATAATAATATAATTATATATATACATAATAAATATATATAAGACATATATTATGTGTGTATATATACAGGGTGTCCCATTTTAAAGGAACCACCCCGAAATTTTCGACGGTTGGCGTTGTACAAAAAAATTGTTCAGACAACAGTTGTTTGGGACAATGGGGGCAACCTTTCTGTGAAATCCGATTTGACCTTGAGATTTATTTTCAAGGTCATTTGAAGGTCAAAGTCATTTTTTGAATAGGAACCCATATTTTTGATCCCAGATTCGGAAAGAGCGGAAAATTCTACGTTCGGATAATGTATTATGTGTGGGGTGCAGTTAACCCCCCCCCCCCCCCGCGCCTAAGGTCATGTAGTGGTCAAATTTATGATTTTCTTCTTCTATGCACAGGGATGATCGGGCAAGGGTAAGGTAAATTGTAATAACCTAATAACTCCAATACCCAATAACCTCAATAACCCAAAAACCAAGAGATATTTTGAATAAGGATCCCCATTTTTTATCCCGGATTCGAAAAGAGCGGGAAATTCTACGTTTAGATAAAGTATTATGTTGGGGGAGCGGTTCACCCACCCCCATCCCACCGGGGCAAGGGTGAGGTTAATAAGGTATTGATTACCCAGCTAGTGAAGGCAAGGTATTGATTACCCAGTCAATGTAGGTAAGGTATCGATTACCCAGCCAATGAAGACAAGGTGTTGATTACCCAGCCGGGTGCTGCGGGTAATACCTTGCCACAGCACGATATCGGCCTTGACATGCCCCGAGAGACAACAGAATATCAACAATTTCGTTTCTCGAATAATCCGGCATATTCCTTCCTTTTAAGTAAATTAAGAAAATTACACTTGAACTATCCTGAGAAGGACTGTTCGCGAATCACTATTGTCATAAACAATACTGTAACAATGAGATTTTGAGTCGTATTTGATTGGTATTGAGCGGTCTCTCTCCTATTGATGGCCGTCTTGCGCACCAAATTTCTTCCCAGAATTGCTTATGAGCGCCCCTTAATCCCTCTCCGAGGTTTTAAAAGAGATGACAGTCTAGCGCTTGGGCAGAAGTAATTGAGACTCGCTGTCTATGACAACAACGTGGTGTGTGAGTTAACTTTGGCCAAGAATTATCCGCCTACCAGATTATAAGAGAGATCTACCGAGGGCTACAAGCATACACATGTGTACGCAGATATATCACAATTATCAACTATTGACAGCGACCTGAACCTGCAAGTCAACCACAGACTTTGAGAAAAAATTATGAGAAGCTCATCCACTTCACTTTAA